TCTTTTTCTTATTTTTTTGGACTGTCCTAAATTAATCTTCCTTTTTTTTGCAAATTTTTCCCTTTTTGTATCACTTAAAGCCGTGCATTTTCACTTTTTTAATTTTATTCGAAGTCTTTAAATTGGGATTTAGTTTTGAGATTTGGGTTGTTCAAAATGCCACTATAGTGCAGACTGCGGAGTATGAATCATGTTTTAAAGATAAATTAAAGTTGGGCAGTGAACTTATTTGATGAATCCTGGTGCACATAAGAGAAATGGATCTTGCTAGACTGCTTTAAAAGATTGCTATCAAGATTACACTCATGCTATAAATAACATAGATGATAATCATTTATGCGACATAGATGATAATTATATGGGGGTATCCTAGCATTTTTTGACTATAAGAGGCTTGACCCATTTCTTTAATGCTTAGGGTCCATTTGGTATACAAATATTAATTGAAATGAGTTGGAAGTTTAAATTTTATGGATTTGATTGGCATGAAATTGAATATTAAATAACAAAATTGAAATTGTTGTTTCAATTCTAATTTTATAGTTTAAATTTTGTGTGCTAGAGCTTTAAAAAGTTCATTGGAGGGTTTTTCAATTATCAAACTATAGTCTTTGCATTAGTTCTTTAATGGAATCAATTGCTGAAATTTTGACAAATTAATATACAGAGTGTGGCTCGATGAAGACATTTGTACAGGTAGGCCACGTTGAAACTCGAGGAATAAAAAATTAGAACAATTTAGTGTTTCCACAATTTGCTTTTTTTTCTTTCATTTTTCTTTCTTATTTTTTCCGACTATTTGTAAATAATGGATTTTCATTTTATTTTCTTGTCTGTTTTTCAATTTTTTTACTAAAAATAATATAAGGTTTTTGGGTGGGATTATAAGTTCAGAACATTTCTTAGGTTAAGACCAATCATTTTTTATTGTGTCAATAATAAATGAGCCTAACAATCTCAAAAAATATGAACAAGCTATTTTTGACATAAAAATCCAAATCGGATAAAAACTATGTGCTTTTTCTGTTGGTATCATGCAAGCGGGGAAATTTTATTAATATTGAGGATAATACATAGTACATAATCTTGGCATTATAGCTATTGATGGAGTGTCTACTTCTACAAAGAATAAATAATATGAGTACTTGGTAATGTGAGAGAGAGTATAATTACATGGGATATAGAAAGAATCCTTCTCCTTTTATAATGATAAAAGAGAGGAAGTTATGGAGTGGGAGATGATAGTGGATGCATTTTAGGAGAGGAGTAAATGGTGGAACCGGTGATGGTAGGGAGTTGACTTAGATGATAATGAAGTAACTTATGAGCAGTAATTGGCGATGAAAATTATAGTAATATTAATTGGAAAATTTGGACCGAAAAATCCTGGTCAGATAATATTTTCTATCATGAATTCTTCTATTTTTTTGAGTTGGGAGATTAATCAACAATTAGTATTAATGTGTCAATGAATTGTTGCTAACACGTATTAATGTGTAACGTAATTAGTGTCCCTGCGAGTTGATACAAATTGAATCGATTGTTAGATCGGTGTTAGTCTCACTAACTGATGTAAATAATTATCTCTTCTATGTCTCTCGTAGACGAATCTAAAATGTCTCGTTTAGAGGGCTGAAATGAATTGGGTGTCCTCGATAAGAGCTCTGTCCCCTTTCTTTTTCTACATGGACCCTCTTTCGGACAATATCCCTCTTCTAGGTTTAAGTTTTATTTTGTCTATTTTTAGGCATCCTTTATAGTTGCTTCACTCTGGTCGTGTGGTTAGGTCTTCCACCCCACTTCGACGTGTGATGAAGTCTTTTCCTGAAAGGTGATCACTGGAGCTCTCAGTCCAGTGCATCTTCTATATTGTCTAGTCCGTATGTTTAGTGCATCACTATCCACACGTGATGATTAGATATGATGGCATCCGGTCTTGAATTTTTTTAGACCAGGCTTTCAACCATTCTTTCTTTTTTGACTAGGCATCCAATCATCTGGTATGATTAGAAAAATTTATATTTCAACAGAGGCTGCGGTGACGAGGGATTCTATCGCCGAAGGTGATGACAAATCTAAGCCGCCTAGGCAAATTTCTTTCAACAGAGGCAACTTCCATTTACCGGATCTGAGTTCTTGGCATTGAAGCAGTCCTCCGGTGGCATCGGGGAACACGCCTCAATAGTGGCAACAATGACAGGCTAATGCTTTTCTCTAAATTGAAATAGGGACTATTTTGATTTTTTCTTTTGAGAGAGAGAGAGAGATGATTTTTGGTAAATGGATCTCTTCTAGGGTTGATTGTTCTTTGAAATTCAAGATTTTCTCTAGGCTTCTTGGATATTTTAGGAGAAATATTCTAAAAGATCATTTTTTAGACCAAAACTATGAACAAGCTGTTTTTGACGTGGAAACCTAAATCGGGAGAAAATCACGGGTGTTTTTTTGGCGTACCATGCCAAGGAGGATATTTTATTAATATCGAGGGTAGTACATAGTACGTAATCTTTGCATTAAAGCCATTGATAGAGTGTTTTAGTTCTATAATGAATAAATAATACAAGGAGTATTTTCTAAGTAATATGAGAGAGTATAATTACATGGTAGTATATAAGAGAGTATGGACATTGGCCTCCCCATGTTGAAAGAATCCTTCTCCTTTTATAGTGATAAAAGAGAGAAAATCATGGAGTGAGAGATGATAGTGATACATTTTCGGAGAGGAGTGAATGGTGGAAGTGGTTATGGTAGGGAGTTGACTTAGGGATGATGATTGGGTAATTTGTGAGGAGTAATTGGCGACGATAATTATAGTAATATTAATTGGAAAATTTGGACCAGAAAATCCTGTGCATATAATATTTCCCATCAATGCCAATTAGGATTCTCGTTCGATGTAAGTAAATTTAATTATACAAAACAGTCGATAATACTAAAATCATCAACAACTAAAATGCTAGTCTCATAAAACATAGAATCATCACCCAATTGAATTGGCACAAGTATTTTAATTGTGCATCAAGAAAAAATTAATATAACCTAGAATTAGATCAGATCAATTACATACCTATTTATCTCCTACTCATAAGTCTATTTGTTATGAACTGATGCTACCAGACTGTCACGCCTGGTCATAGCGCGACCAAGGCCGGCTGGAGGCAGGGGCAGCCTGGCCATTGGGACAGGGCCCATTTTTTTAGGGGGCCCAAGTACTATATACTCCCTCCGTCCCGGAGTATTCGTCCACTTTTGACTTTTGGAACTGTTCATCTAAGCACTTTGACTCATCAAATTCTCTCAATGTGTAAGCCTAAATTTAGTCATGTGTGATCTTGTTTGATTTGTCTTAACATATAGATTATTAATATATAATTTCTATAATTTTTTAATATACATATTACAAGATAAAATGATTTAAAGAAGTGTATTGGATGGTGTGTAAAAATGAAAGTGGACAAATACTCTAGGACGGAGGTAGTATATATATATATATTAATATATGTATGTATATACACATTTGTTTATTAATATAAAAAATTTAAAACACAAAAAAGTAAAGGGCAGTGGGCCTAGTGGCCTATGTAGGTACAGAAGGAATTACTACCCATTTACAAGCAATAGCCAGTCCATCGGAGCCACACAACTTGCTCTCAAGAGTGCTAGGAGAACTTCAAGAATCCTCGGATAGCCATTAATGTATGCAATTATAAATTGATTACACCATGAATTTGATATTTTATTATTCTTATTAGTATAATTTAATTATTTTTAAATAAAGTAATTGATAGATTTTATTATATTATGACACAATGGCCAATTTTCTATGTGTCGTACAGGGCATTTAATTTCTCGAAGACGGCCCTGAGCCCGACCAACGCGACACAAGCGGGTGTGACCCTATGCTAGTGATTGCGGTCATGGGCGCGTCCCGCCTCATGTGCTACGTCTTCTCCTTCCCTGTGACAAAACCCAAGGTGATGGGAGAGCACTACCATGTGTCGCCTATGTGCCCCATCAAGACCATGATAATACACAGTCTAATAAAATGAAGAAGAAGAAGAAGAGGGGAAATCCAATTTTCAAGCTCTACAATTTACACTACCACAACCACACAGTATATTCTTTCATAGTTCGGGAGTTCTATTGATGGCCATCGAGGTACATCACATTCTATGCACTAAGAACATTTTTGTACTACATTTGGTTCAAGGAATTTAAAAGAAAAGAAAAAAAAAGGAAGGAATCTCGTTTTTCTTCCTCTTAGTACATTTTAGCTTTTCATTTTTCTTTTCTTTCACTTTTATTTTCTTTTCCTCTCTGACCAAACAAAAAAAATATTTTTCTTCTCATTTTCTTTTCTTTTCCCTTTGAAATTCCTTGAACCAAACATATTATTGAAGATCGAAATAAAATTCTCTCCTTTGGTATGATGCGTCGAAAATATGGAGTATATCATAAATTATCTGATTTGATTTTGTTTAGAATAGAGAATTGATTTTTTCAAAAAAAAAAAAAGAATAGAGAATTGATGAATAACATAACCCTTTCACGTGGAATATTTTTCAGGACAATCATAGAAAAACAAACATATGAGATGAGAGGAGAAGCAATAAATACTGCAAATTGTACTCATTCCGTCGCACAAAATATTTTTAGTTTGAAAATAATGAATTTTAAAAATGAGTAATTTTAGTGTTATTCTGTAATTTTCTAATTTTCTCACTACGTAGTACATCCTGTTTCAAGGATCAATCAGAAGAACACGACCAAAGATGTATGCGAAATGAGTTGGGTCAAAATCAGAGCACAAAGTTAGCATGAAAGTGAGACTTAAAAACGATCTAAGTTTGGATTATGATCTGTGTCATCTATGCTCCCTGTAAAGAGAGTATTGCACTGGACATGTTTGATCTCTGCTAATTGCTTGATTTTCAGATGCAAAAAGAAATGAAAAAAAATAAGAACAATGTAAAAAAAAATGCACAGGGGAAACCAAGAACAGCCATAAAGTAGCTGGGAGAATGTGGGGACTAATCAGCCTATGATAATGAAAGACTAATAGCTTCTTCCAAAAGTCATGTTTGTTCAGCACTGATTCTATTCAGATTCCAAAAAGTAACAATATTTGCAAATGAGGAAAAAAACAAAGGACACTCAGAAATCACCAAAGGAGGGGCAAGTGGGTAATTTTCTCCTCAAAGCTTGACCTCAACATCGACACCGGCAGGAAGGTCAAGCTGCATCAGCGAGTCAATCGTTCGGGCAGTTGGGCAAAGAATGTCAATGAGGCGCTGATGTGTTCTAATCTCAAAATGGAACCTTGCGTCTTTGTGCACGTGCGGAGATTTGAGCACACAGTACACTCTCCTCTTGGTGGGCAACGGGACGGGACCCATGGTCTTTGCATTTGTTGTCCTTGCCACATCCATAATCTGCTTGCACGAGTCTTCAATCAAGGGCACCCAATATGATTTCAGTTTGATCCTGATCTTCTGCTTTGGGGCCACCTGAATATGCATAGATTTCAATTTTCATGTTAGAGAGAAAGAGAGAGTAATCAAGTGTTCTATTATAAAACATAAACCTAATGACTTAACTTACTATGTGCTCCCACCTTTATAAAGATGCTCTTAGGTAACTAACATCTATAGTAGGCCAGCTATGACTTACAAAACTTGAACAATATCAGGCCAGAAAAGGTAAATATTGAAATTTTGCATGGTTAAATGCAAATATACATCAATGATGGTTATAGAGTCTCACATGCCTGTAGGCAGGAATGACCCAATCTAGTAAAACCCAAGTGAAATATAACTGAAGCTTGAAAATGTATGGGCTCTATAGTATATTCATCACATATGCATCTCTCACTAAAAACAACAACGATTAAATAATCCTACCACTGGGGATATATACATATCCCAGACTCCCACTAGAAGAAAAATAACTTCAGGGACGGAAAAAAGGAAAGCCAATTTAAATGTAATTTTTGAGAAAAGAGGATACGTATATATACTTCGATGATTACTTGACGGGCCCAATTCAATACTACCTCCGTCCCAGTCTTATTGTCCACCTTTCCTTTTCGGGCCGTTCCACTGCTTTTGTCCACTTTACTTTTTTAGTAAAAGAAGTGTTCAATTGTCCCTTTTACCCTTCATTTAAGTTTTTACAGACCTCTCCCACAACTTCTCTCACAATCCCACCATCTTGACCTGCCCCAATGCACCAAAGAAGTATATCTGAATGACGATGCTGCAGCCTGGCGATGAAAACGCCGGTAAATGAAATCGGAAACGAAGAAGGAGATTTGACCAGTATTGCAAGGAGATATGAACAGATCCATCATCACAAGAAGATCTGACCAAATGTCGGCGGTGAGTATAGCAACGAAGGAGATATGACGTTCCTCAAGGAGATCTAAGTAATTACATCGGTGACGGACGAGACTTGCATACCATCTGCGAATTGAGAAGTCTACTAGGAAGATTAAACGAACATTAAACTTAAGCATACCCATCTGATCTTCTAGCGATAAATTGAGAAATTGAAGAATTTACCTTCAATTGCAAGGTGCACAACTGGGTTCTACATCGAGAAGAACAAAGATTTGACATTTAATTTGCTTTTAGGCTTATAACATCTTGCTTCCCTTCCTTCTTACGGTAGCCCATAAGGGCATTTTAGACTATTTCCACTCTCTACTCCAACTCCTTGGTATTTGTGCCAAAACCAAAGTGGACAAAGAGAGTGGGACAGAGGGAGTATGATTTACCGCTTTATGATAATGCCAACCACAACAGTGTAAACTGAAACTCAGTAAAATGCTCAGTAAGTATTGACGAAACTTGGATGGCAATTGGCATGTAAAACCTAAGCCTAAAACTGTGAACAATTAGAGTGCCGCCATCATCATCATAAGTAAGCAACCTAATCTCAAGTCCAAACTACTTGGGGTAATTGGTACCAATTTATAGTGTCTAATTCATTGTATAAAAATTATTAACACTGAACATACATGAAAACAGCAGAATGGCAATGTTTTAGGCAGGATTATAAGGAATAAAAGGAATAATGAGGTTTATATTATAAAACTGTCATCATCAAAGGTCATATGTATATCTGCAGGCACTGAAAATATATTGACACAAAGATAGTTTGAAATATTTTCTATTAACTTGTTCAGTTACATTTAAAAGATTGATCTTGTAAATTCAATCTGCAAAGCATGGAACATGACCAAGAAGGCAAGAACAATAGAGCATGCAATAAAATAAGAAAACCAAAAGCATATGGTTTCTGGATATAGTCAGAAACAACAAAATGTAGCCATAGTCCTCCATACAATAGTTATAGCCACAACTTTCAAAAAAAAAAAAATCAGAACAAGCAAGCGCTAGAAGTAGCACTTCGCACCTGAGTGTAGCTAGATTGGCAACAAGTTTAAAAAAATTCCAATAGGTACATTTTTGGTACGACATTGGATTTTAGGAACTTAGGATTACTATGTGCAGAACTCCAATTGGACCGCCTAGCAAGTTCTACTCCTACAACCTTCTTTAAAGTTCTGATGTACTGATTTACAAGCCTTGGAAAAGTCAGCACACAAAGTTTCTACAGAGAAGCAATGCTTGGGCATTGAGGATCAAAATACAATTATGATACCACAAAAAAAGAGCAGGTAATGAAAAATAAATGTGATGAGTGAATTGCAACAAATAACAAAAAATTTAATATATTTTATTTTCAATTTGGAAATTCATCTGCACTCATGACAATTACACAAGAAATTTAACCCCTATACTCAAAACTAATAAATCATATGCGCAAACCCAGATAATAAAGCATCAAATTGTAAGTAATTAAGAGAAGCCAGGAAATATCCAGAAAAATCCAAAAAAAAAAAGAGAGAAATAAATGACATTTTACCTTATCTGATTCAAAGCTGACCTCCCGCTCCTGAGACACCGCAAAGTACACAAAATGCTCATCAAAAGAAGAAATCATACATAAAATTCATGTCCAGGTAAAAAAAAAAAGAATAATTCTTAATTATCCACACCTCGAAGTCGGCAGCATCGGAAGAGGCGTCCAAGACTTCAGGTGCAGCGAGGGCTCTAGACGTCAAGAGTTGGGAGGAGGGTTTGAGGCGATGAAACTTGGCAGAATTCGAAGGAACAGGTAGAAAAGATAGCTTCGGTTGAGCTGAAATGGCGTATGAATTGCATATTGGGAAGAGAAATGAAGATGAAATAGCCATTATTGCGCTTCTTGCAGAGGATGTGGATGTCCCCCTCCCTCTCTTCGCAGTTGCTATTTGTTTTGTCCGTAGAGATAATCAGATAAACGTCTTCAGATTAAGTCCCCAACATTTATACTCCAATTTGTACCCCGCAGGTTTGCACTAACACTTTGTGTTGGTGTAAAACTAATTTTTATTAACGCACAAACACTTTGTGTCCGTGTAAATTTTTGTTAACGCACCAACACTTGTGTCGGTGTAAACCATCAAAATGTTTGTGCATAACTGTGGGTTACAAATGGGGTACATTTTTTGGTGTAAATGTAGCATGGTCCTTTCTTTTTTTAAAATTTTTTTCTACTTTTGTTTATTCTTATTAAAATTAGATCAGATCAAATCAGACAACATCAAATCAGATTAGATCAAATCAGATCATATCCAATTAAATCAGATTCAATCAGATCATATAAGGTCTAATCAAATCAAATCTAAACAATATTATTATTATTACTATTAATATTATTATTATTCATATTACTGTTACTATTATTATGATTATAATTATTATTACTATTGTTATTATTATTATTTCTATTATTATTATTATTAATATTATTATTAATATAATTGTTAATAGTATTATTACTATTATCATTATTACTATTACTACTACTATTATTAATATTATTATTATACGGAGTAATTATTATTACTATTGTTATTATTATTATTATTTCTATATTTATTATTATTAATATTTCTATTATTATTTTATTACTATTCTTATTACTATGGTTATTATTATTAAAATTATCATTACCACTATTATTTTAACTATTATTTTTATTATTACTATTATTATTATTCCTATATATTATTACTATTATTATGATTATAATTATTATTACTATTTTTATTATAGTTATTACTACTACTATTATTATTATTACTATTACTACTATTATTGTTATTAATATTAATATTATTTCTATTATTATTGCTAGTATTATTATTATTATCATTATTATTATTATACTCCCTCTGTCCCAAATTATAATGCTTGTTCACTATTCACATGATCAAACTTCATTCACTTTCTTTCTCTATTTTCGTTAGCAATTTGATAAAATAAAGTACTAGTGTCACTACTAGTTTTGTAGATCTTTTGATGTAGTATTTTAATATGTAATTTTTATTTTTTAACTATATACCATTTGTCTTATAAAATTATTTGAAAATAATTTCTGTCAAACATCGTAAACCGAAACAGGCGCTATAAAATGGGACGGAGGGAGTACTTATTATTATTACTATTCTTTTTACTATTTTTCTTATTATTAATACTATTATTATTAACTCTATTATTATTACTATTATTATAACTAATACTCCGGGGTAGTTGTTTCTTTCTTTCTTCTCAAAAATCAAGGCAAAAAAGTCATCTTTATAATTAGTCATTTTTCTTTCTTTTCAAAATCAAGACAAAAATAAGACGATAGTTGTTTCTCTCCAATTCACCACCTCGAAAATCTCAGACCCAAATCTTTTCTCCATTACCAATTCTTAATCTACCTTTTTTCTCTCAAATCACTCATTCTAGTCATCAATCTCCCTTCTCCTTCTCTTCTGTAAAACAAAAAACCCCAAAGTAAATCAAAATAAAAACAAAGCCAAGAGAGGAAATAGAGAAAGAGAAAGGAAAACCTCAAAACTCACCCCTTCAAAAAAGTCATACAAATTTTCCCAATTGAGAAAAGAAATTGGGTATTTGCCCATATTCAAGAAAAAGACAAAAAAGTCAGGGATCTTCAATCAAATAGGCACTTTCAAAAGTCTTTAATGTTCTTCTTTGACGTCAGCAGCTACAAGCGCCCGTTAACCCTTTTTCTCTTCTTCAAAGACGTCAACAGCTTCTAGCACACGTCAGACTTCTCTCTTTTCTAACGATGTTCGCAGCTACCAGTGCACGTCAAACTTCTCTCTTCTCCAATGACGTCAACTGCCACCAGCGCACGTCAGACTTCTCTCTTCTCCAACGATGTCAACAGCCACCAGCACACGTCATACTTCTCTCTTCTCCAACGACGTGAGCAGCCACCGGCGCATGTCGTACTTCTCTCTTCTCAAAGTTTCCAATTTTCAGCTAGTTTCCAAGTTCCTCTTGCTTCACCCTGAGTTTAGCTTGAGGGGGATGTTAAACAATAATATTAAGTATTCCTAGTTATTGTAGAAGTTGTATTTTAATTAGTTTCCATTCTCTATTTCAGGTTGTGTTAGGAGTCTCTCTTATATATACTTTATCATGTACTCCATAATTCAATGAGCAATATTATTATTCTAATATTTCAACAAGATCAGATCGGGCGAATGAAACGCAGCCTAAATCTCAAAAATATACTTTGTAAATTCTTATATAGACCTAAGGTATATGCTCATTTTATAGACTTAAATACACTTGTTGCATAAAAGAAGTGAAATTTTTACAAAAAAGAAAATATCGACATACAAACTCACTAAAATATTAGTAATAGTCAACATTTTAAGCGGTTAACATTGCGACCATATATAACTCTTAAGTAATGAATATTTTAATATTTTCTATCATAAAAAATTAGAGTAAGTTCTTATAATGATCTTTTATAATTAAATATTTTATCAAAATAGTCATTTCTAATTTAGGGGTGTATTCAATTCAAATTTTAAAAGATTTTGACATATTTTAATAATCTATGAATTATGTAAAGTCAGTCAATTTTTTAAATTCTACATAGAATTTTGGGCCTGTTTGGGAATAGCGTTAGCGATTAGCGTTAACGTTTTGAAAAGGCTATCTAGGGGCAGTGTTTAGCGTTAGCGTTTTCAAAGTAATCTGTACCGTTAAAATTTTATCCAAAACGCTAACGCTAATCTCTAACGCTATTCCCAAACAGGCCCTTTATATACTTTGAAGCATTATATTAATATGTATCAAAATCTGTATAGATTCTTAAAACCCATAAATTATTTAATATAAACTATAATGAAAGAAAACTTCATTAGGTAAGGAAGTTTAGATTCCTTACTGGAAATTTTTTACGGAGAACTATCGCAGAATAAATTTCAATTATAAAGTACCACATAGATAATTAGTATCTATCGAGGATTGTTTTGAGAAATGCCTTACAAGAAAGGATTATTCCGGAACTTTACTCTTTTTCAGAAAAATTATTTATTAGATCGATTTCTACTTATATTCTATTTTATGAAAGTATTATGGGCTGTGATTTCTCTTTACACTATGACACAAAAAATTTGAATAGAAAATGAAAACAAAAAAGGAAGAAAAACAATTTTCTTATTTGATTAGGGAGGAAACGAACAATCAAAGTGAAAGAAAAAGAAAATGAAAGATAGGGTTAAGAAACAAAAAAGGGAATAATTGGGTATGAAAAAAAAATCATTCTTTCTTTTAGGTATGAAAAAAAAATCATTCTTTCTTTTTCCTCTCAAAATCCACGGACTCGAAAGATAGAGTTAGGAAACAAAAAAAGGAATAATTGGGATTTAACCTTACTAATAGTATTCTTAAATTTACACTTACATTTTAATGTATTTATTGACAGAAAATGTTATTCTAATCGTAAAATTTTGTACCAATATTTTGTGTCAATATAAGTAATCAATCTCACACCTGCATTAACATAAAATTTAAATGTAAATTTTTGGAATACACTTTGGAGTATAATCTTTGGGGTAGAAATAAGTTTATTAGTTGGGATAACAGGCCCCACATGATGGGCTCAAAATGTATGGTTGATTTTGCTCCTCAAATATCTTCAAGTGTGTACTTTAGACACGCACTTATAATGCATCTAGTGTGCAATACAATCAGCATAAGATTTATAGGAGCACTTGAATAGACCAAAATGGAAAAACCATAACAAAATTAGGGAACAAAGGGAGTAGTTTGTAGCCATTCATAATCCAATCCAAGGTTAACACAAAATGCAGAAACACAATGTACGAAATCAAAACGAGAGCGAATTGTCGATTAGTTGGTGAGAAAAAATACATATTCTCTGGCCAACGAAACCGCTCCGATATAACCATCGGGTTCGGGTTTTTTTTGCAGACCGTACCGACTTAGTAATAAGAAGGGAAAAAGACCTCGGTCGCGCACTCGATTCGTCCCTTGGGAATAAACGGGCAATCCACAAGCTTCTTGCCACTCCTGTCCACACACAGTGTGATCTGCCAAATCTGGCTCTCCTCGTTCGCGTTGTGGTTGCAGTTCACCCACGGGTGAAACCCGAACGCCGATTCGACCGCCTTCTTAATGGACTTGAGAGGGTAAAACCTGTTGTTCGGCCGGATTCCAGCTTTCGCAAGCGCTTGGAGGATGTTGATCTTGTTCTTGAGGTCGATTGCGGATTCGAAGTAGTGCAGCTCGGGCACCGCGGACATTGAGCAAGTCCCGTATTTGTTCCACTCGTGTAGCCAGAATTTCCTCCCTATCAGTGGGCATGTGAAGGATGGCCAAGCCTTCTGCAGGCTGTCCTCCATTGCTTTAAGCTGCAATGCACCAAGGAAGATAATGTCTTTTTTAATTTTGGTATAAACATAATGGCCTTACTTTGGTATAAACTCCAAAACACAATGTCTTATTCTAGTAAAAACTTCATTTAGATAGATTTCTTATATTGGGGAAAAGACTAAAGTAGGAGTTTCATGTTTTTATTCTCGAAATAGGAGTTAAAATGCATTTACACTGTCAATCATAACCATACACATTACGAAAAAGTATTACGAAATGTCCATATACAATGTCACATTACCACAATGTGAACTACTATTTAGAAAATAAAATTATGAAACTCTTTGTTTTGGTACTTTTTCGATGTTTTACTCCCTATCCCTCTATCCATTAATTACTTTGTTTTTTTGTGTCATCCACAAATTTCACAAATTTCTTTATTGTATCGTGTTTTGGCATTATAAATCCACTTTTCATCCACACTACATTCAATTGATTATATCACATCAAGGGCACATATGGAAAGTTTCTACGATTTCTTAATCTCGGTGCCAAATCAAAACGGAAAAGAAATGATAGACCAATATGGGGTTAGAGTGAAAAATGAGAATTAAAAGGGGAAAAATTAAGAGATTACCGGAGCGACGTTGAAACTGTCGCCGGGGCAGTTGTCGGGGAAGCTGCCGTCGGAGTTGTAAGGCCAGAGACCATAGATGGTGAAGTCGGGGGTTGGCTTCCCAGTGGGTGGGTAGCAACATCTGGTGCCCCTCTGGTTGCAGTAAGAACCCAGCCACTGCTGCACGAAGTAGAAGGCTTGGAAATTGCCATGGCACAGAGCTCCTCGCACCACTGAGAGAGACAAGATCAGTACAAGCTTCATCAACATTGAACAGCTTGGTCTCCACATCTTTTTCGCCCTATTACTCGTCTGAAGTCTGATCTGCCCTATTATATTGTTGAAGTTGAGTAATGAGTGGATGAAACTTAAAATACTACTAAACAGGCCATTATATCTCCTATCTTATCCTACCGAGTAGAAGTTAGTTTATTGAAGAAAGAAAGAAAATGCACCAAAAATATAATCACATGCCCACAACCACTTCACTTCATTTCCCTGACGCGATGGAGCGGGTTTTAAGAAAGAAAAGGGAGTTGGATGGATGATGACACGGCGCATCCCATCTTATCGCCCCCCCACCACCCACCACGTCATTTTGTCATACTCCTCTCGAACAAAAATTGAATGCACCATGTACTAGTATAACCACAAAAAGATGAACCACATCCTTTGTATCTGAGCATATTGTTTTCAAGAACTAGCAGATATCCTATATTTAGTATAATACCCACCGACATACCAAATTCGACACTTTATTACTAGTCTATAAACTATGACTTTGAAAGATATAAAGCATGTTCTCTTTATCTGATCTGATTGGATTTGATATCATTTTATTAAGGCCTGATATGATCTTTTTTCTGGCCTTATTTAATCTCGTCTAATCTATTTCTAGTAATATTTAAAGCTGGTTCTAGTCTGATATAGTCTAACCTGATTTGATATGGTTCAAATAAAATAAGTACTCCATAATAAATAATAGAGTTTTGAGTAAATTTTATAATTGGTCATTTATAACAGATGGTTTCCCATATTTAGCCATCTGTTATCAAATATTATCCATGTGGTCTTTCTTTCATTGGTACCTTTTCACAAATAGTTATTTTTTTGACATTCTGTCATGTCGATGTTAATTTGAGAGCTAAAAATGTAATTTGACATCAACATTATGTCTAATGACGTATTCTGATGTCGGTTAGATGAACAACACAACAATAATGACTACGACCATGGACTAGGATTCCAACCAAAAACTACATCTGCAGATTATGATTGTAGAAGAAAATGACTGCGATTCACAAATGACGCATCAAGAGCGACCTTTAGAATTGTGTATGACAAGAATGATATATGATCATTGTGAAATTACATTTTTAGTACTCAAATTAACAACAATATGAGAAAAGATCAAAAAGGGCTATTTGTGAAAAGATATTCATAAAAGAATGACTACCAGGATAATATTTGATAATATATGACTAAATACGGAAAACCACATGTTATAAAAGACTAATTATGAAATTTACTCTAAATAATAGGAATAAAGACTTGTTCTCATCACATAATCTGATCATAGTTGTATTTAAAGCTATTTCAAATCTAATATGATTTGATTCCAATAAGAATAAATAATAAGTAACAGTAATAAGTTGAAGAAAAAGACTCTAAGTTGAAGAGAACATGCCCATACTCTCTTCTCATCTTTAAATGATCGTTCTCTTTACTAGTCTAAAGTTTCGATAATTGTTGTTTGTATATGCATTTTTATTGATCATTTGATATAAAATAAAATAGACATATCATTACTTGTTTTGTAAAACTTTTAATGTAGTTTTTAAAAATATACGTTGTACATTTTATTTCAAAACCAGTTCATAAATAATACTTCCTCCGTCCCACTATATTTGTCCACTTTCATTTTTGCACACCATCCAATACACTTCTTTAATCCATTTTATCTTGTAATTTGTATATTAAAAAATTATAGAAATCATATATTAATAATCTACTCCCTCCGTCCCATGAAACATGGGACATTTGCTTTTTAGGAGGGATTTAAGGGAGTGTATTTTGGTATTGAATTTCCAAAAATGTCCTTTGATGTGATTGGTAAAAGTATGATTTGATGTATAGATTATTAGGAAAAAGGTATGATGTGATAGTTAGGGTATGAAAAAGTAAAGGGTAAAAGTGACTTTTTAATAGAAATGAGAAATGTTTTGTGGGACGGATAAAAAAAGAAAGGGGAAGTGTTTCACGGGACAGAGGGAGTATCTGTTAAGACAAATCAAACAAGATCACGCATGACTATATTTACGCTTACACATTGAGAGAATTTGATGAGTCAAAGTGCTTAGATGAACAGTTTCAAAAGTCAAAAGTGGACGAATATAGCGGGACGGAGGGAGTATCATTTTAAATAAGATAAAATTTTACATGTTGTTCGAAAGAAGAGTATGATAATTTGGGTACAAAGGTAGGAGAAGGACACTGTCACATTTACTAATAACAATATCACTCAATAAAGTGACAAATTTGCCATTATTCAATAATAAAACTATCATACTCACCTACCACCACGATGCCACATTGTCAACTCTGTTACCACATTTTTAACTCCGTCACTACTGTAACACCCTAATCCGTCTACATCGCCGCAAAGAACTTCTCCTCGATACGGTTCCACATCGCATCCTTCGTTTGCTCTGAACCTTTAAAAAGCATATAATTGAACGAAATTTTTTAACACATATAAGGACTCTTCCTCATCCGTCCACTTTTGGATCGACCGTGCCGCCTCGGTCATCGCTTTGCCGCCTTTTGCTTTATGACTCTTCCGACGTGCACTTTTTTTGGTTCTCGGTGGTTCTGGTTGAGTCTCCGGAACCGACTCTGGGTCATCGAGTTTCACGGCCTTTCACTTTCACCAATGTTTGCGTTTCGAACAACGCCAGATTACTCCCGTATTGTTGGAAGATCCACATCGCGTACTCCTTTGGATCGAGACCGTCGGGGGAAGAACCGGAGTGATTCATGTTAACAAAAATTGAAGAAAGGAAAGATGTGAAGAAGATCGAAGATTGGGTTTGATATTTATAAAAACAAATTAATTAAAGATTTTTTTTAAAGGCGTAACAGCTAAATTTGCCGTTGGGGGGGGGATAATTGCGTTAAACATTTGACGCAACGCAGCGACCCTCCGGCATCAGCCCCATTTCCATAGCTCTATGAGCATGAACAATGGCAAATTAGAAATAAAATGTCACACGCTGACATGACTTTTTTCAACCAATCAGAAACAATCTAGTCATACAGTGGCAAGTGAGTGGAGTGAAACGTTGTGAAGTGGCAAGTCATTTGTTTGTTCTTTTATTATTTACTTTCTTTATTAAAAATTGTTTTAGTCATATTTTTTTATTAGAAAAACAATTTTACTACCTTTTTAAATTCAATACGAACTATTTGATATCTAAATTCATACTCCGTAAATATTGAATTTAATAATTCTAAAATCCTAATCAAAGAAAAAAAATCCCAAAAAAATACCGTCTCAGCCCTGCCATCCACCAATCCTTCTCTTCCCTAGTCGGCGCCTCCTATCCTTCTCTTCCAGACATGCTCTCCAAACTCATCTAAAGAAAAAAATTTATCTTCCTTCTCAAAAAATGAGAAAAAAAATAAAAAAATCCAGAAGAATGCCTCGGGGATGGAACGGGGAGTGGGGTGGAACCCTGAGAAATGCCTCGCGCCACGCTACCACATGCTGATGTGGCAAGGCGTGGCAGTGTTTTGGAACGCCGGTGTTGGGGCTCTAAAGGGCAATAGGCCGCATATCTCCCATAACTTGCGGGTTTCATCACATTCTTTAGACTTTTGATGTTTGTTCGGTAATTTTCCCAACACAAAAAGAGAAAAAATTGTTTCCATCTTATTTCTCTCTATTTAAACGTCTACACATTTCCTCTATTGAGGTCACCCTATTTGCAACAATTCAAATCCTTACAAAACAGTCTGTAGCTACAAAGAATAAAGATACATACTTTCTTATTACTCATTGTGGGCAAATTCTTATGTGTCCTTAAGTCCATATTCATTTTATGAATCTTAGTACATAAACACCATAAAAGAATTGAGCTTTTTGCAACAAAAAAAAGGATCTATTTGTAAACCCATAAAATGTGAGAAAATTCGCATTTCACATGTAAACCTTAAGAGTACAGATGCACAACTCTTAAATGTGTCCTTGAACTCTGTTATGATTTTCAAGAATCACAAAATGATGTTACACATGAACTTTTAACGGAAAGAGAAAGAACAACTGAGAAAATGAGAAATTCAAAGTTGCAAGATATACTTTTATTATGACGAATGGAATCGAAAAAAGCTTTTTTTTCTTTCCCCAGTTCGTCAAACTAATAATAAAACAATGTTCTTCATGGTAACAACAGAAAAAAAGAACTTTAAATACAAAAGAGTTAATCCAGTGAAATTCAAGTCAAGTACCAAGATTAGGTGTTGGCTTCGGCAGAGGGCCATGAGAGTATCTCCATTCGCCGCATGCTTCACAGTTTTCTAACTCTACGGCGTTATCTAGGGTACAAAATTTGCATGACCACATACTATATTTGTCATTAGGATCTATACGCCTTCGAGTTTGACAGATCTCACAGATAGGAGCATAATGCTGCAATGAGAGATTTAATTAATGCTCTGAAAATGCTCCATTACATCAGATTAACAACTAATTTACAAATAAAATTATGTATAAGCAAAACAGCTATTTCATTGCTGGAGGGGAGTTGGGACATTTTCAAGAAACAACAACAACAACAACCCAGTTAAATCCCACAAGAGTAGGGTCTGGGGAGGGTGTGTGTACGCAGACCTTGCCCCTACTCGAAAGTAGAGAGGCTGTTTCCAAAGAGACCCCCGGCTCAACGTCGAAAGTTGCATTGCTTGACTAACTGCTACTTCATTAATTAAAGAAGCGCAGACAGTTTAGAGATCCATTTTGATTTATTCCATCACACCCCAAAGCCAAAAAATGGTGAAATTTTGGCTCCATCAGAGATGATGGAAAATTGGGACATTTTCAAGAAAAAACAATAAACAGCATAGTGATGAGGTTATTATTATTATTGTCGTTGTTGTTGTCATTGTCATCATCATTTAGTAGCATAACATTTAGTTTCCTATTATTACTAAATAGTCATAGTTTCCTACTAGTAGTCTTATTCTATTTTAGTTAATATTCTTAAGAGATGCTTTGGTTGAATGAGATGATGGAAGAAGGTACGTGGGGTGAGAAATTTTTTAAAGAACTTTAGGTTGATCGTTTTGGGCTGCCCCTGGACAAGACTCGGTAGGAAAGAAACACTTCCGATACCAAAATGTTAGTGGTCCAAAGAGATCCCTAAGATAGATGAACCGCTCTCTTGCTCGTGGCTATCAGAGGAAGAACTTCGGATTAGTCAGTGACTAATTGGGAAGAATTATTTGATTGTTTCAATGATGATTTTATTAATGAATATAACCCCCCCTATTTATACTATTCCCAAGAGTCTTGGCGAGCAAGTTAATAATAGAGATCTAACATTATAAAATAATGATATCAAGAATACTAGCTAAAATAGAAAAGGAGCAACTTAGTAAGTACTGTAAAAGCTAAAAAATAAATAGACTATAAATGCTTAATGACCTAATCATCAATGTTAAGACATACCGGGTTCAACAAGGTGCACATTGAGCATTCCCAAGCATCTGAATTCTCCAAACTGCGCACCGCATCATAGCCAGGGCCTAATCTTGCATTTGAGTGATCATTTGTTAAGTCCACAAACTCTGACCCTTTATGATCATATGGTTGCTGAGAAAGTGGTGGAATTCCCCCTGCATGGTCTTTCTTGAAAGATTTGTCCCTGACAGCACGCCCTGATCCTGATATAGAACTAGACACGTTATGACTATCTGCAGAGATTGAAAATGAAGCATTTTCTTGCTCTCTATTTCTTTTTCGAGTTATTGCATCAGTAACCTGTGGACCAGCACTGCTAGAAGGTTTTTGTTTCACTGAAGTGGGATCCACATCCGAAGGTTTAAATGACATATAGGACTCATCATCATCATCATCATCATCTCCTTGCATATTACAAGACTCCGAAGCACACCAAATATTATCATGTGATCTCCTCTCAGCAGCCATGGCAGCAGCTTGGATGGGAGTAAGTGCACCCATGATCGATCTATCGCCCCCAATGCGTTTAGGACCAGGTGGCAACAGGGTAGTAAGTTGTGCCCTCTTTTCTGCAGCAGCAGCAATAGTGGTACGTAGAGAAGACAAAGAAGGCTGAGGAAAGAATCCCCCCAACCGTCTTCCAGGAAGATCGAACCCTTCCCCTGTCCCACTTATCCCCTTACTCAAAAGATCTTCACATTCCTATACATGCATTACATATCAGGACGAGAAGGAAAAAAATATTAAACCGGAACAATTGAAGCACTTAGTTATCATAAATTCAAAGAGAATATATCAAATTTAAAACTCTTAGCTTCCACTTCGGTGATGCTATAATACCATGTCCAAGTCCTTAATTTAAAGACCAAAATGGTAGTTTTATGCACGTGTAAGACAAAAATGAAGCATTCAAGAATGTCCTTTGAACATTATAATCAAGAGGCAGGACCATGTCAGCAAACAAGGCACGCCTCACAGTCCACTGGTAATAAATCGAATGACCAATTTAACACAAAACTTTGAGTACATTGCATTTTACAAACAGTGTGATTACAACATCATGCTACATATCATATTTTTTCTTCATTATGTCAGGGAAAAATCATTATTTCAGTCTCTCAGTTGTTCTTCCTTCTGCAATGTAATTTCTTTTTGAAAATCTTGTGAAACTCAGTTGGTCATGTGTTCAGTAACTAGCATAATTCACCCACTGATAGAGAAGCATGGACTGTTTCTTTAGAATCTAAAGAAAAAGGAAATTAAAAAATACCACCACAAAAACAACTAACCCAGCAGATTCCCAACAACGCTGGGATTTGGGGGTCAAGATGTACACAACCTTACCCCGTGTAAAATATAGAGAGGTTGTTTTGTTAGACTCTTGAAGCATTGTTGCATTTACTACCAATACTTCATATAAAGTGGAGTGAGAAACTAGGGAAGTATAATACTCCGTATGTCATTTTTATTTACCTCATAATTACCTGAAGCTAAACCATTTCCAAAAAAGGACTTCTTTTAGCACCATTGGCAATGGACCCAATTACAAAAGAACCCCAATAACAATAAATCGTCAAAGAAAATAGTGTCACACTTTTCCACCACTAGGGAATTTGAATTGACGCACATTCAGGGACATATGTCACCAAAATGACAGCAACAAAAACATAACACAATATAATCCCAACTTTGTTGGGTCATGGGGGTCAAGATGTATGCAAGCTTATTCAGGTACAGAAACAGAGAGGCAGTTTCAGATAGAAACTTGTTGCATTGTTGCACTATTGCATTTACTGCCCATAACTTAGAAAGGATGAAGCACAGGAATTTTAATGTGCCATTTAGGTGTTGCCCATTATTTACACGAAGCTAAAACATTGTCAATAATGATTCTTTTAGATCAATTGGCAATGGACACATTTAGGTTTCTCAGCAAAACAAATAAATGTTACGTGCCCTTTATAATTTCATGTGTATCATACTTAACCTTCCGAAGTTCGTCCCAGAGCTTGTAGAAACTGGTATTATGAGGACTATGAACATTGTGGCAAAGCTCATGGAGCATGGTGTCCAATACATCATCATATGGTAGAAAGTCTTCGTCGCGGTAGGGACGCCTAAGCCTAAGCTTTACATTAACACCGGCTCCTACGTTCAATCCAAGAAGATTTGCGTTCTTCGGACTGCAGCATCACATTAGCACAAATTTATTGAAAGAGTTAAAAAGCATGGATAATCCAAAAGCAATTGCCATAAACACCATTCATTTGAAAGCTAATTAATTGCAGAAAATCATGAATTGGCAAGGCCACCAAAATTGGGGGACAATTTGATACCAGAATTCGGAAAGGAGTTTGACCCTCCAACAGTGCTTTCGCATAATCGGTTGAACTTGTTTGGCTATCCGCTCCAGGAACTTCTGAGCCTCTTCTTGTTTAGGCTTCCGCTTCAGGGATTTGATCTCCCATACCTTGTTCGTGTCGCCGAAACTCATTGTTCCGAAACAACTCCTAAAACCCTAATTCTTCCGTAATGCACGATCGTTCAAAAGGAACAAGAGCACCGTGGTGTGCTGTGTGACTTGTGAGAAATTTGGCGAGAGGTTTGATCTGTTCCCCAAATATGGCGGGATTTTGACATTTGTTCAAATAGGGCCAATGACCTCCCATGAGATATGTACTTTCATAGCTATGCACCTCGCTCTAATTTTTGGTAGGAATGAACTATGAAGTCAATAAAGAGATTTTTTTTGTGTATTTAATAATTGGTCTTTTGTTATGTAAGATTTTTTTATTTAGTTTTTTATTATTAAATATTACATTTCATGTTCTTCTTTAATGGATAATTTTTTATAAGTAGTTTCTTTTACCTTCTACCATGTTTGTGTTAAATTGAGAATTAAAAATATAATTTTACATCGACTTTATGTCCGGTGACATATTTTGATGTTTGCTTGACAAATAACAGAATAATAGTGACCATGATAAAATTAGATATGGAAAATCTCCTCTTATAAAAGATCAATTATAGATTTTGTGTGTGTAAATCACGAGGTTTTGAGTCTTTCTCTGCCTGGCTTCGAGTCAAGGTCCATCCAATTAACATCGTTCGCTCCAAGAGGCAAGGGAACTGGCTCAAGGGAAATTGTAGTCTTTGAGATTCGAACCTTGGTTCTACTATCCACAAAGAAACTCATTTTGCCACTTTAACTACCCCTTTGGAAAAAGTTAGAAAGAATTGAAAGTGTTTGAATAAATTAAAGAACGGAAATCAAAATATATGAGCATTCGTCGTAGTTTTGAAAATCAAACTGGATTGGCCAGTTTGGAACAGGAATCAGCAATCAAACTGATCAATTCTATTAGACCGCTACATGATTTCAACCAGTTCAAAGCGGTCTAAATCGGTAAGAACCAATTTGATTAAACTGGTAGAACCAATTTTTTATTTTTTTTTGTAAAAACGGCCTAAAAATCTCATGGAATAACATTTTGTTGGACAATTAGAATAATCATAATTATAGTAGTATTAGTTATGGTAATATATGTATTTTAGTAAGCTTATATTATTGATTCTTATTTCTAAGCTAGTTGGGGTTATAATTCCTTTTATATATACTCTGCCATGTATTTCTTATTATTTGAGCAATACAATTGTTCAATTAGTCAATATGATATCGGAGTCCCCGCTCTTTATGACCTAAAATTCTTCTCTTTCAACAGTGTGTGTGCTTAACAACTGCTACCGATCCCGACGAGCGTGTCTAACTGTCGTCATCCCTTATCTTTCTCTTTTTCTCTAAAATGTTTTTATCTCTCTATCAAAAAAATTGTGTGCACGATCAAAGAACTGATCAAAAACTGCATTTGACTGTGTTTCTTCTAGAGTTCGAGAGTATGAAAAGTGATAGAAAAATAGAGAATGTCCCAAAAGGAGAAAAAAAACTCTGCTCTCTCTCTCCAATCGTCAACACTCTCTGCTAAAAAAAACTCAGCACATGCACTCTCAAGCTTATTCGTCACACAACGAGTATCTGTGTTTGTACTTTTTGCAGACGTATTCATGAAGGCGTTATCTTCTCCGCACTCCCATAAATGAAAATTTTAATTTTTTAAATGAAAATTTTAATTTTTTATTTTTCAAACAGAATTTCTTTCTTTCCAAATAAATTTCCATTCTATTTTTATTTTTGAACATTTACGGTATTAATACCCTTTTATTGGCATGAAATAAAAAAATTAGGTTGAACATTTACGTAATAAAATATTATTGGAATGAAAAGTAAAAACCTTTTATTACTTACCATGTAAACATCACAATTACCATATGTAATGACATAACATTTCTTGAAACGGAAATTTAAGATTTTTAAACCAAAATTTTAATTTTTTTATTTTTGAAACAGAATTTTTTTCTTTCCAAACAAATTTCTATTCAATTTTTATTTTTAAACATTTATGGTATTAATACCCTTTTATTGGCGTAGCATAAATTATCAATTTAAGCCTGAGAATTTGGCAATATTTAGATTAATAAAAATTATCAATTGAAGCTATAGCATAAATTAAACTAAGGAAAGAATAGCTGATATATGGAAAGAATAATTGAATCGCCACAAATCATGTTCTAATTGCTAATGAAACCTTACTTTATGGGTCGTGTGATTCTTTTTTTTTCATTTAATTCTCTTGCCACCTTAATTTGCCATCCCCCAATTATCATTCTAAAGGTGACACGTCAACAATGCCACATGTCTCTCCTCAGCTTTGTCAAATGTCACGTTTCTGTAGCTTAGAGTCTCCTTTTTATATATAAAGGATTCTTTCACATGCAACCTTTCTTATCATACACAGTATCAAAATTTATAAGGTATGAAATTACCGTATTAGTAATTCAGGTTTCACCTGTTACCTTTTTTATACATGATACCAAAATGGTAATGTATAAAATTTCCTTATTAATAATTAATAATTAAGTTTCACATGTTACCTTTTTTATTTTAATGTTACCAATAATAATGATTACATTTATTATTATTATTATACACGATACCAATACTAATTAAAGTTTCACATGTTACCTTCTCTATTATTATTATTATTACACAGTACCATAATAATTAATAATTAATATTAACTATGAAAGAAAAGTGAGAGAGTAAATAATTATGAAATTACCTTATACATGATATTTAAGTTTTAGCACTTACCTTTTGTGATTGAAATGTTTAGGTGGGAAAATGAAATAGAAAATTTCTCTTTTTTTAAATATAGTATAGACAAAAGTAAGATTGTGTTGTCAAAAAAAAAAGGTAAGATTGAAAAAAAAAAGAAAAAAAGAAACCAAGGGAAATAACCCAGCCTAAATTCTTGTAGGCGGAGAATGTGACCAGGGTTCACTTCACCACAATAAACCCTTCTCTGAAATCTCGACGCCCGCTGTCTTTATCGTCCGAGCACGCACCTCCACCCTCAGGCTCTCGCAAATGTCCGCTATACTTAGGCGTCGGCGTATCTTCTCCTTATTTACGAGGAACAATCGCTACCTCTCCTCCAACGCCGCCGCGGATCCTCCCACGGGGACAATCGTTCCTTCTTCTTCAGCAGTACTCGGCAACCAGCCTCCGCCGCCTCAAACTTCAGCTCCGCCACCTCATTCCGCCGGTGCTGGAAAGAAGCCGTGGGGTTTCCTGAAGTATTCTCTCATTGCCGCCCTCACAGGCGGTGTTGCCGCTACTGGTTATGCTACCTACGGTTCGTGCTATGCTTTGAATTTCACTCATATTGTAGCTTCACTCTATGTGCCGTAAACAGACAAACAGACACACATAATGGTTATTGGCCAACAAGGCCTTCAATTGTTCATATCGATTTGGTGAGAGATTTAGTGGGTGATGAGAAAAGCTATCTACAAGATGATTTGATTTTTTCTTGGTGTTTATAACTCCGTACAAGGTTCTCAAGGCGTTGATTTAGTTTCTTACCTTGATAGCTTTATTGAATTTGAGTTTTGATGCTTCTTTTTAATCTGCAAATACAATTTAAAGCCAGATATTTATCCTGATTGATACATCCTTTTTCATGGGTTACCAATTAGATACATTTCAGAGTGTTTGCTTAATTCGAGGCTTAGTACCACACCACTACAAATAAGCAATTTTCTAGCAATGTTGCACAATTAACCTTCATCATAACTGAGCTGTATTAGTCTGCAGCATTCTCTCTGGATGAAGTTGATCAGAAGGCCCGTCAATTTCGGGCTGCTTCAAATTTTACTGCCAGTGATGATGCACCTGGTGTTGATGTGAGTGTTTTGTTATAGTGCATTGTCTTATGAACATTTTGTTTCCAATGGATCTAGTGAAAAAACTTACCTTATTATTTGGAAATGCCATACCCATTTATTATCCTTCTCATTTTGAAAAGGTGGGTAGAGGTATTAGTTCTATACAATAGCAGATGACTTCACACCATAAGCATTTTACATAAAAAGTTCTAAATGGATTGAAAATTTCACTATTCTAAGTTTTGCAAATATACATTGCTCTAAAAATGCCTGTATTGTACAGAATGTTGACAACAAGTGTGCAAATTAACATGCCAAGTATAATGCAGGGAGTTTTTGCACATGACCATAATTTGAAAGGCATTCACCTCCCTTGCCTAAGTTGCCTCAGGCGTCTGGGCGACCCTACACCGCCTTAAGAGAATCAGGCAAGGAGAGGTCCCTAAGGCGCACCTCAAGCGGTTGCTGTATATTAATTATTTTAAAAGTGTTCGATAGAATGATTTTAAACAACTTATTGCATTTAGGTGTATATATTGGAATACATACCTATATATTATAGGAGTATATAATACTCTGTATGTGCTATGTGTGTGTGTGTGTGTATATATATATATATATATATATATATATATATATATATATATATATATATATATATATATATATATATATATCCCGTGTTTGCCTTTTGACCTTTTGCATTGCCTCTCGACTTTCAAAATTATGGTCTTGACACCATTCTTATTATATCACGATAAGGTTCTGTTCCAGTAAAGTTATTTAATAGATGTTGGATATTTAATTTTTCTTTGCCCATTGCAGAAAATTAAAGCTCAAATGTATTCTTCTGCAATGACAGGTAATGCCATCAATCTATTAATTTTCTCACATAACTATATATATAGTTTAGGAAGAGCTCCCTAGAGTTTGGATCGTTGAGAATATAATGGGCTGAAGTTAAAATCAATCAAATCATTGTTCTTCCCGTCTACCTACATTTAACTTTGGTGTCGTATCAGAGGCATTCACTTTTATGCTTCTTTGGATCACTTGTATATTTTAGGTTACTAACTGGTGCATATCCTCAATAACTTCAGTTTTTTTAATATACTTTTCAATGCCTACTTTTTCAGTACCTGCCAAGATAGTTGAACTTTACCTAGATTTGAGACGATTGGCAGAAGAGCAAATTCGAGTTGAGTTGCTGAACATCATTTATGCTGTGTAGTATCTGGATATATTTCAGTTATGATTTTTTTGTTCTTCTAACTACATTTCACTTCATTTTTTTCTATTGTAGGGTTTTACGGAACCATTATCAGATAACCTGCTCCCGGATTTGCATCCCATGGAGCAGCATGTGTTTACTATTGTACTTGATCTTAATGAGACACTGATATACTCTGATTGGAAGGTAAATCAAATGCCTAAAACTGGCTTTGATCCTGCCTAGAATTGGGTTTTTTTGTAAATGTAGACTATGTAGTGTCAGTTACTGTTGTGTTTCTGGTGTGTGCATTTGTCTCTTTAAGAATATAT